TTCGAGTCAAGCACACATGGAGATGCAGAATCAACAGAGGGCTGCGTGGTGATACCCCGGGACGACTGCTCGCTGCACAAGGAAGGAACAAGATCCGTTTACCCACAACCCGGGATTCTGATTCGACTGCGGCCCTGCACTCAACCAAAAAGATTACAACGATGCTGCAGTGGACATGGGGAATAGACAAAGATCTTATATGGATAAAGAACTGTGTTCATTGAGGATTCTCACCAGTTCAACTTTGGATTTATTCTAAAAGGATTCTGCCAAGACAAAGACAGGACTCCATCCATGGACGTTAAAGTTTTCTGCTGCCAAGATCGTCTCTGCATCTGGGTTTGAGTAATACTGCCTCCCCCAAAGCCTCTATTTAGATTAAGACACAGTGTAGGGTTAGAAGTAGGAGTAATTTCTAAAAATTCTTAAAAGTATTAATTTCTTAAATTTTTATTGAAATGCTGTATGTCCTTTTCCCTTGCTAAAGCTTGCTAATAAAATACTAAAGTCTAATTGATGCTGTGGACAGTTAAATTATTTGAGTCAACTAAATTTAATTCTTCTGATTATTGTAAAACCAGTGTTTGTGGTCCTAGTAAATTAGGGTGGCTTCGTACGTTCTTTAGTTCAGATAAATAATGACCCTGGGACTTATTCCTAGTCTCTAAAATTATCTAAGCCGGTAACAAGTGAACGTTAATGTCAAGGAAAGAGCTGCCGTGAACAGACGTGGTTTATGAGTTCGGACACCGGCGGGGCTACTGGACTGAAGCGGGTTATAACGTCTGGATGAAGGTAGTTAGAGCTTAGACGAATCTTTCTCGCTCCCAGCTTAAACAAAAGTTCTCTATATTCTTATTTGCGGTAATACCCAGGAATTAGAGGCTTTTCGGACCCGTGAGATGGAGAGCTGGTCAGTAGTCAGTCCGCTAGAGTTTGGGAGGAGTTAGGGGTGTGGCTGAATACTGTGCATTAACATTTTGTGGCACCTGAACAGGGACGTGACTCTTTAGAAGAGGCGGAGCCCTAGGAAAGTAGGTGGGAGAAGAGCT